AGATATTTATTATTTTATTCAATTTCCCTGTTCTGGAATCGGATGATTTTCATAGTTTATCTGGAGACTGAAGGTTTTCATAATGAGCTGTTAAGTGGGTAAGAAATAAGGGGGAACAATGTTAGGAAGAGGCATGTTCACCAAACAAATCTATGGCTAGAGCATTTACTATAACAACTAGAAACCTGGGTTTATTCTTCTGGAATGGATGTGCACGCATGAATGCATGTGTGCAAAGGATAGCAGCTTTTCCTTCCCTTCAGGCAGCAGCAGCAGAGTCACTCTGCCAAAGGAAGCAATTCAAACAGACATAAGGAGGTAACACTTAAGCCTTCAGAACAATGCAGTGATATTAATTTTACATCTCATAGCATAAACCAAGCAACTGCAGTTTTCAATACCTGGTGTTTCAGCTCTAAAAACACATAGGACATTTTCCCTAAAGCTAAAGGAGGTGTGCATTTTAAAATGTTTTAGAATCAGCTTGGAAGAGTTGATTTTCCCACTTGTGCAATAATTATTTTCCCTTTGTGTAGTTGAGCAGGACATTTTCACCCAGCTATTACCACAGAAACATAAACTACTTTTGACAATCTGACCCATACTCCTCCTGCTGTAGACAATTGCAGAAAAACAAATACTTATTTTCCTCTATAATATTACATATTATTGCTACTCCCTTAAATAAATACTTAGTGGAAGAAAAAAAGCAAGCAGCACACCATCATGGACCATACGTAATCCCAGGTACTAATCAGACACAAACTAAGTGAATCGCCATCTTAGTGTTAAAACCAGCAAGCTCATACACAAAATCCAAGTAGGAAGTCACTGGAGGAAACGTTATTAAAAAAGAAAAGCTGCTTATGTCAAGTAAATGAAGAAAATCTGCCTGGCTGACAAGGACATCTTAGAAACAAATGCTCTAAAATATGTTTCTATTTCTTGTTGTTCCCCAAAGAGCTAAAAGAACTTGTATGTATGATCCTCTGTCCCTTCTTAGTAATTAAATACCTTTTTTTGGATGATTTGACTAAATCTAGTGAGGATAAAGAGATCTTTAAACATGGAAAAACTTGTATACTTCAATGACCAGTAGCTGTCACGAAAGAAGCTACGGAGGTAAAGAAAAGATACCTTATTTCTTATCTCCCTTTGAAAAATGGACTGGAGTGTATGTTCAAATCTTGTTTGACCACAGAGAATCCCTGCATTCTGGAAAAACTAAAAACTGGAGAAGATTTTGTCAGAGCTGGTCTTTTGTAAGACACCAAGAAGCTCAAACATGAGAGAATAGTACATTAGAAACCAGGCTTCATCAGTACTGCTGCTAACTCCTTATCCAGTCTCCAGTGCTTGTGAGGAAGACACCACCACCAGAAGCTCAGCTTCTCCCCATCAGTGCTGTAAACTCTTTTTACACAAATTGATGCATGGGTTGCAGGAACCAACTGGGAGAAATTAGGCCAAGTCCAACCTCAAGGTCTTCATTAGTTTTATTTCTTCATCAGACTTAGGTGGTAACAAAGAGAATAGAATGAATCCCACATCCTTTCAAGAAACGCATTCTATATCCCTTTATCCTTTCCCTAAATTTAGATCAAAATTTTTTAGAAGTCTTCAGCAATGGCACATTAAGACCTGTATTTGACATAAGCGCACATCAAAAGGACAGCTTCTACATATTTCATATTAATCATTTCAGGAATAGCTACATAGGTATTTTATATGCTTGATATTGTAGACACCACTACATTCTTGGATGCCTAGAAGACATTGAGAAGGACCAGCAAGTTTGTGAATTGTTGCATTTAATGATTTCTTAATACATCTTTCTACACCTATATAAATTTCTATTTAAGTTTTGCTGCTTTATAGAAGGTGACTACGTTACACAGAATAGCCCTAATACAGAAACAAAATTGTAGTAATCCACCTTGAATGAAAAACATAGCAAGTGTGTGTAGGTGAGCCACAGATGCACGAATGCACTTCATGAAAACAGTTGCAACAAATGTACTTTTGCATTTTTGTGCATATTTCTATTATTCTTGGCAAGTACCAAAAGTTGGCAAGTTTGTTTTAAGTGCATATTGACATATTTCGATTGTCTCACACTACTAAGATATGAATTATTTTGCTGAATATTGCATTTAGCAATCTAAACCTGATGAGCACATGGCTTACCTTGTAAAAGATTGTCTACTAAGTCTCAAAATTGTTTCCTTTCTCTTGACATGAGAAATCAGAGACATATAAGAGGTTAAAATATTCTTTATTTGTAATCAGACCTGTATCACATCTCGAATAGTCTCCTTTTTGTCCAGAAAATAAAGTCTGTCAGTGAAGTTACCAAAATTATCTGCCCTCAACCATTTAGTAAGCATATAAGAATCAAAGGTTAAAGTTTTTTTTTACTTTGTGCAATTCTCTCACACGCTGTGTAGATCTCAACTGTGTTTACTGGATACAGGTGTTGTGCAGAACGTCCTTTGTCTATGAGCGTGGAACATCCTTTGCCTATAGGAAATACTAAATGCATACCAGAATTTAGAAATAAGTACTATATCTTATTTTATCTAAAAGTATCTTATCTTATTTTATCTAAAAGACTCATTGTTTGGCTCTGAGGAAAGATTATGCAATTTAGGCTAGACTATTTGGTTTTCCGTCATAGGAAACTACAGAAAGCTTCCTCAAGGCTCTGAGAGACTGCCTGCCCATCTTCTCTCTCTCTGAGATCAGATTTCCGACAGCACTGGAGGAGATGGACATGATTTACTTGTTAAATAACAGTGTGTCAAAAAGGACTAAGATGGTAAAGTGAGCACCTAGAACAGCACAGTGGGAGGAGTGGAGCAGGCTCACACAGAGAGGTTGCAAAAGCCTAGCTTCGCTGTTTGTTTTCAATACTACTCTTTTTCTAATATGATGATTTAAAAAAGGCAAACATACTTCCACATCACATTAAGATTACTAAAAAGACTATTAACAGTATAATAAGAGGAAAAATAAGTATGGGAGAGGAAAGAAAAAAAAGTAGAATAATCCGAAAGGAATGGTGATGTTGCTGTCCTAAAGCTCTCTTTCTTCCTAAACTGTAGGTGATTCTATGGCAAACCATGGAGTGTCTTCAGCAGGCTTGCTGGACTTGCATGCCCATGAGTCTTCAAATTGAACCTTGATGCATGTTCTGTTTCTTAGGCTCTTGGATGCAGTGACTGCTTAGAAAAGAGAATATAGACATTCAACAGATCCTAACTTAATATCAAGTAATGCAAAAGACAGTGGTAAAACCTGACTATTACGACAAACTTACAGATGCCTCAAGAATCTGTATTTCCACCCTTCAAAACTTCACTTGGTGGGAAAATTCACCCAGCAAGAATGACTACAGAAGTGAACTGTTTGTGTACTTGCAATCAAATTCAGTTTTCATGATTAGAGGATTTAGAAGAACTTTAATCGTGTTGAATTTTTCTTTCCTTTTAAACTGAGTGAAGGAAGATTGAGCTAGATCATTATTTGGCATGAGTCAGGACTGTTCATTAAAAAAAAAAAAGAACAAAAAATGGAAAAGAGCAGATTTAATATTACAGTATGTGGCTATTCATGAGCCAAGTCTCAAAACATGAGAAAGAATCCTGAAACTATTTGACACGAACAGTAGGACACACCAAGTAATAGCCAATTACCTAAACCAAAAAGTCTTTTTGAGAAACATCTCACTGAATAGAAAGGCAATTACAGAAGTTTGTCTCCTTCTTTGCATATCCTATGCATCTGCCTCTCCATAATCTTATACATATTATTATAGCAATACATCTGAAGTGGAACTACAAGCCATTTCTAGAATGAAATATACTGTTATTCATTTTAGATATGTAATAGAGCAGTCATCGCAGCAAGAGAGCAAGAAAGTTGAAGCTGCATTTATTTAATTTATATTTCATAAGTATTATGAACTTTTTTAGCTATAGAGATCATTTAAAGGATAAGTCCTGTATTATCAGCTTAGTGCAATGCTATTTATGGTGAATCTATGTGACAACTGCAAATATCTAAAGATCCTTTAAACTAGCATTGAGAAAATATCTACTGTAACAGAATTTGGATACAATATATTTCCATTTTTTCAACATACCAATACATTTTAAACTTTCTTTTAAGTCACTCCAATGTTCATTTTCTATAAATCAAGCCACAGCTTGCAAAACTGAAGGAGGAGCTGCATAACAGTATATCAATAACAAGAGTTTCTTTCAATAGCAAGAAAATTAAAAGGAGTGGTTGAGGCACAAGTGATATTTATACAGAAGTATATCGAATAAGCAGACCAGAGCTTCAGTACTTATTTTAACTTCCTTAAAAGAAGACATAAATCATAGATCCATGGCTATAGATTGTAGTCACATTGAGGTCTTACTGGGTTGATTTTTTTTGGTCCTCCAGGATGAAAAAAAAAAAAAAAAAAAAAAAAAGGGAGAGAGAGAGATTGAGAGAGAGAGATTGGCTGATGGAACTTAACAAATCCCCTTTATACATCCATTTCACACAGTCCGTGATCAGAATGAACTATAAACTCGTATTTCAAGGCAGTTTGAAAGCAATCTCCCACACTCAACAGCAAAATATTTCTGCAGTGAAGGCAATCCCAGTGAACCCAGTAACTCAGAGAAGAGTCTGGTTGGTTGAGTTGAAATGGACGCTGCACACAGAAGCTTTGAATATAAGTCCATATCATAAGAGCTTGTGATGCTGGAAACTACTTTTATAGCTATGATTGTTTCTGATAAGAGGCACTGCATAAATAGAGTTAATCATGTAATGCACTTAATATTTCTCAACTGAGGACTATTGCAACTTTACTCTCTATCTAGGTGTCGCTTATGCTTTGGTTTGCTTTACAGCAGTAGCATTGCATTGGCAATACGGCTGATACTATGGAGAAGGCTGAAAATATTGTGGGATGGAGGATTCAAATCATCAATCCCCCTCCTTTACTTCTTTTCATGCTTCTTGGTTAACTTTCCTCTTTCTAGCTGGAGACTCACGCTGCCGTGCGTTCGCCTCTCCTTTTGCTGGCTCTCCTGGGACACTTGCTGCACCGCTCGCAGGATGACCATCTGCACGATCTGCTTGCTGGCATTCTGCAGCCTCACTTCGTCCTGCTCCGGTCCTGGCTTTTCACCTGCCAAGTGACACACAAAGAAAGGGAAATTAAAATGTTTGTGGCCTCTCTGCAAATGCATGAGAGCTAGAAGAGGAGAAATAAAACTGGATATTTGGGAATGGTTTGCTAAGTAGGAAGCTTGCTAATATAGAAGATGGTGTAGTAAGATGGAAAGCACCTACAGTGTGCTCACACTATGGGACCAGATAAGGAGGGAGACCTTAGTTCCTACAACTCTGCTAGCCACATCCAGCTTCAGGATCCAACTCTACACCCGAAACAAGTATATCTCCGTTCTGCAGGATGGGAGGGAAGGAGTCTTTGCTCACCCAACTCTAAATGGCATCATTTTTACGTGGGCTATGCTTGTGGATGGGGAAATGGACTTCGTTTTGCAGGCCTGACATGTTCTCCTTCACAGTGATAGTCAAAGAAAGTCATTTCCTTAACCTTTCCATTTACATCTAACTCAAATGAAAAGCCTTTGTCACCAGTGCTTTCAGCTTGAAATTTCGTCTGACTTTTTGGTAAAATATTTTGTTAGGAATTTGTTGATTAATCTTTAACTGTATCTTCAAAAATACTTGCAAAAAAAAGGACATTTTTTGCAAAAATAAGATAAAGACAAAGTAATATACTCTGCTTATCTTGTGGATCAACCAGCAAATCAACCACCAGCAAAAACCTTGCTTTATGAGAAAGATACCACAAAGATTTGTGAGGCCAAATCAAGCACCAGCAAAAACCTTGCTTTATGAGAAAAAGAAATCATTGGTGATCTCCAAATTTTTTCACAGAATCATAGAATCATTACGATTGGATTTTTTTCACAGAATCATAGAATCATTACGATTGGAAGAGACCTTTGAGATCATCAAGTCCGACCATAAGCCCCTCAACCCCATACCTGTTAAACCATGTCCCTAAGCGCCTCATCTACAGGTTTCTTGAACACTGCCAGGGATGGTGACTCCACCACTTCCCTGGGCAGCCTGTTCTGTGTTTTCCTAATATCTAACCTGAACATCCCCTGGTGCAACTGGAGGCCATTTTCTCTTGTCCTTGTCTCTAGCACTAGTTACTCTGGAGAAGAGAGTGACCCCCGCCTCACTACAACCTCCTTTCAGGTAGTTGTAGAGAACAATAAGGTCAACCCTGAGCCTCCTCTTCTCCAGACTAAATAACCCCAGCTCCCTCAGCTGCTCCTCCTAAGGTGTGTGCTCCAGCCCCTTCACCAGCTTCGTTGCCCTCCTTTGGACATGCTTCAGCACCTCAATCTCCTACTTGTAATGAGGGGCCCAAAACTGAGCACAGTATTTGAGGTACAGCCTCACCAGCGCTGAGTACAGTGGGATGATCACTTCCCTAGTCCTACTGGCTACATTGTTCCTGACATATATATATATATTTATATATATATATAAAATTTTTTATTTCTTTTACTTAACTTGAAAATATACTTATTTCTATTGTTTATGTTATAGATATTTTACCTAAAAATAAAATACAAATAAGGTTTACTTCTATTGAAAAGAAATACTTAAAAAATACTGTACTGAGCTGACAAAATCAAGTTTAAGATGGTAAAACCATAAAAAAAATAGAAAACCATGTCTTATGCTGGAAATGCTGACAAATTGGAACCACTTGAATTCTTGGCACAATCAGCTTCCTCTGTTCACTTTGTTCTACTCCTTAGTGTATGTTTGTTTTTGATAAAATTCTATGTCACTTAGCAATAAAGTACAGATACTTCTCTGTTACTCCAATATGAACCCATTTTGTATTACAGAATGAATTAGGTTTCTTGCTGGGTTGAAAAAGACCAGCCAACTCCACCTGATATTCAAAAGAATGTTTGAAAACAAAACAAAACAAAACAAAACAAAAAAAGAGTAAAGATGAAATTGTACGTACAAGAAAATATGTTGGGAGTGGTCTATAAGGTTATATGAGAATGTGAATGACTTGCCTAATTTCATTTTCTTTTAGTCATAGAAATCAGAATTTGTTGCTAAAATATGCCGTTAGTAAGTACAGTGCTGCTTAAAATTACTCAGTTTTCTTTCCCAATTTATCTACAAAGTCTGAACTTTAAATGCGGTTACATTTGGAGAATCAACCACAGCAACACCCAAATAAAAACAAGAATGCTTTTCCAGTGTTTTCTACTGAACTTTTAGTTGCTTGCAATAGAGCAAAATGTACTTGAAAGCATCACTCAGCTAAACAAGACCTTGTTTACATCTGCACAGCTCTAGCTCATTAGATGGTGCTGGTATGTGCTCAGAAAATAGACGAAACGCTGATAATTGTTAGGGGGAGACTTACCCAGAAGCTCTAGAGCATTTCTGCTCTAGAAATGCAATTCTAATGGCTTAGGTATGCACAGAAAAAAAACAAGTCCAGATTAACTCTTAACAATTTTACATCCATATAACACATTTATCACATTTTGACATGGGAGAACCAAAGGTGATGACTACTCAGGAAAAAAATAAGTAATTGGCTTGGAATATGGAGAAAGTCAAAGAGATTGGCCTGAAGTGACAGGATCAATTAGCAGCTTATGCCAATCATCTAAGTTAGAATGCAATAGTGAAAAAAAATAGTGAAAATAATGCTCCTCTGGCAGGTATATCTGACACTGTGGAAGCTGGAGGCTACAGTGAACCTAAGCCCTGAAGAAAAACTTCAGTCTCATTTACACACTTCATGAGTCATATCGAGACCAGTCCCGCAATCAAAACAATCTCACATATTTTCCATTGATACCCCCTGTGACCTTTCCTTTTCAGTTTGCTACAGGTTAAATTTAGCATGACTTTAACCACTCCTATTAAATAATACTCAGCAGCTGGTGGTACTGCAGAATTTCAGTTTGAGTCATTCAGTTCACGACTTTCTCTGTCGTGCCTTTGCACAGAATTGTCAGGAGTATGATCGTGAAGCTAAATTGCCCAAGGCATGATCTGGCTCTTGCAAAGATGCAAGTCCATCACAGATCTACTGATGCCTGAAATGAACTGTAAGGAAATACAACAGCTTCCAGGAGGTGCAGAATCAATATATTCAGCCGGAAATGGCAGCATTTCTCACATAGAAAGAAAGCAGGGGCAAAACGGTGAGTAAGATGTCACAGAAAAGAACTTTGGACCCTTGAAGAATGTGGATTAGAAATGGTTTAATCTTGGACTCTTTGAAAGGCATTAGTCATGCATGCACATGTATGAATAGGAATGAACATCTGACTTCATTATCTCAGCAACTTTTTTTCTGTCCTGAAGTTATCCTTTCTGCTTCCTCACCTATTTGTGATTACTGTTTTTCCCAGGAGAAAAAAACATTGCCTTCACTTTTAATTCCACACTGTTTCCATCAAAGCATGTGACATTTATGTAGCTCATTAAATATTTCTGTGGGTTGTTTTGTCTCGAGGCACAACACAAACATTGCATTTGAACAGAACAGCTTAACTTATATGGCAAGTTCGAAGAATCCCAAGGGCTGTATATCAGGGTTAAAAGTTTATGTTCTGCTTCACAGGAATAACAGATATAGTTTAATTCTGGCAAATGCATACCACTAAAGCTGTTCTCTTGCAGTAAGAATTATTTTTGTAAACAGCTTTGAGCTCAACCACATTTAAAACTAATGTCAAAAATCATACTCCTCTGAGTCTACCTTTGAGCAATTTAGAACTTGCAATTACAGAAGAGTTCATTCCCCTTCACTGGCTATGATTTTCATTTATGTAAAATTTCAGAAGATGACACAGTCATGAAGCAAATGTTCTATATTCATTTTTATACCAGATATGCAGGTAATGAGAAGATTTACTACTTATTTTATGAATATATTGCATTAGATTGGAATGGTTATTGGTTAACCTCAGTGCTATTTTCTGCAGCATTGCAATATTAGTCTTATTGTTTTCCATGTTTAATGAAGTTTGCGTATAAATTAATCAAAAATATTGTTGATTGGTAAATCTATTTCAATACTCTTACTACTAAAAATCATATAACCCAACTGACAGTATGAATGAAGTTTTAGATTGGAATGGAAGCATAGGTAAGCTAGACTGAGGAGAAGCCTTCCTCACAAGATCTAGTGTAGATGTACAGGTGCTGTATTTATAGAAGAAGTTACAGGATATTGACTAAATTGTGATTATTAGCACAGTTCTTTCAAAAAAAATAAAGAGTCTGGCAAGATTGCAATGACATAACTTAAATATATATTGTGGTAATTAACACTAACATTCTTTGCATCATTATCAAAATTGTCATTGTTTAATGTCATTGGTTAACTGTCATGGTAACATGTCACTGGTTAATTACCACTGTTGTGGTAATTAACAGTAACATTCTTTGCATCATTATCAAAATTCTATTCTAAGTAAAGAAGTTCAGCTCTTTATCATCGTATTTGCATTAGGTAATGATAAATCTCTTCATCTTCCCAGACCCAGCAGAGAAATCCAGATGAATCTCTTCTGAGGGGTATTTTGAAACATGTGAATCAAAATACTTTAAAAATCTCTTTATTTAAGTTGCTTTATAGGATGCAACTAGAGTTTCAGCACTGGTTTCAGCCTATTTTGTAGGAAGGGTATAAAATAAAAGGCTGCACAGTATTCATAATCAGGAAATGTTGATGAATTATGTTAATTATATTCAGAATGAATGAACAAGGCAGTCAGCTGGGGCTCTGGACTTTCGAACATATATGAACTTGAAGCACGAGTGTCATTAAAGATATTTATGGAATTAGAGATTCAGTTTGTCTAACTAACTGTCTTCAGAGTTCTTGTAAAAAGGTTCTAGAGTGAAGCTGTAAATTAAACATAATGTATTTCAGTTATTAAAGTTAGTATTGTTTTAAGTATTAAAGATAGTTAGGCCCATTATTGTTGTTTATGCCCTGAAATGGAACCTTGTGAGGTTCTGACTAATTTCTGCCAAAAGACAGAGGGCAGTACTCAGTTGCCCTGATTCCTGTAGGAAGGAAGAGGA